GTCGCGGTGCTGATAAAAAAAAATGCAGAAAAGGGTTTTAGTATATTTTTCATCGGATAATTTATTTTTCGATTTATTTTCTTAGTTAAAAACCTCAAACACCTCTTACCTAAATAGTTGTTATACAGCCACTTAGCTGCATGGAAAAAAAATAATCGTTGTTGCAATCATTTTGAGCGTCCAGTCTTGGTGATAGTAATGGTAAGAAATGGATTGACGTCATAGTTAGAATTACAGCGCCGTCTACATATATAGTGCATTGTGACGTCATACATGTATAGCTTACCTCAACTCATCCAAATACATAGCAATCATTGATTAAAACAAGTTAGTCAAGGTTAATAAACTTATTTCGTTGTATTTCAAAACACATTTATATATTTATCAATAAAATAAATATGCTACATTCATCTGCTGTCAAAGACAGTTTTTGTCTTCTTTTTTTTTATATAAAACCTTTAATTTTTATGCTATCAAAAATGTTTTTGTTTTTTAAAAATATAATAAGTTGCTGTCTTTTAAATTATCTATATTATATACTGAATGATTTAACAGTTAACCTGTGCAATAAAATTCTGCGCAGTAATTTTTTTTAACTCACCTGAGCCGAAGGCTCAAGTGAGCTTTTTTGATCAAAATTTGCCCGTTGTCGTCGTAAACTTTACACATTTTCATCTTCTCCTCAAGAACCGCTAGGCCAATTTCAACCAAACTTGGCACAAAGTATCCTTGGGTGAAAGGGATTCAAATTTGTTCAAATGAAGGGCCACACCCTTTTCCAAGGGGAAAAATCTTTATCTTCTTCTCCTGAACCGCAGGAAAGATGAAACTCATGTGGAATCATCCTCAGGGAGTGTAGATTCAAGTTTGTTCAAATCATGACCCCTGCGGCAAGGGAGGGGCGAAAATGGCCGACCCTAATTTTACATAGGAGTATATAAGAAAAATCTTTAAAAATCTTTTTCTCAATAAACTCTAGGACAGGAAAGATGAAACTCATGTGGAATCATCCTCAAGGGGAGGGGGTAAATTAACGCCCGATGTGCTCAGGTAAGCCCTGTGGCCCCTGGGCCTCTTGTTTCTACATGAGAGAGAATACATGTTCATGACTTAGTCAAAAAAATCTGACGTTTTCTGGCTTTTAACGATTTTTATATATTACATGCCAGGAAAACGTCAGAACCGGCGCCATTTCGAAAACTGGGAATTTCACGGTTTCCAACCGAAGTTGATTTTCTATACTTGGGAACCGAATAAGATGTCGAAATCACAATTTATCAATGGCACAATACTACTAGAACTCATCAATAGCGATGAACAGAAATTACCAATCCACATTCCGATTCAGAACTTGCACGATTTTAAAATGCACGAAATGAAAACAAATCTCGACAGTCAGATAAAATGCGTTCATCGGATTATATTATTTCATAAACGAAACAAAAAAAAAACGATGTTGGTGAGTACTAAAGATTTTGTACTATTGATAATATATGAATTCAGCATTGAATTCGGTTTACAAGTATCGAAAATCAACCTCTGAATGCCGCATCCGGTTAAAGGCGGCGATTTCCCGGTTCTCGTAATGGCGCTGGTTCTGACGTTTTCCTGGCATGTATAATATGAAAATCGTAGAAAAGCCAGAAAAACGTAAGATTTTTCGGACTAGTTCATGACTATGAACAAAACGGTAGTTATAAATGAGTTAGAAAAACTGCCTGATATCAAATTCAGTTTTGACAAAAAAAAACTTTGTTATTTGCAAGTCTTGACAATGATGCTGATGAAAAGCTACAGTAAACATAGAATAGTTTTTTTGATTATATGATTTATGGAATCTTTTTTAAAATCTTTATGAAGCAAACACCTTCTGAAACCTCTTGAAAGGGATATAAAAGAATTATGCATGTATTCCATTTTCTTATTTAGAAGTTTTATGTTCAAACCCTCTTTAAAATATATTTAATTAAACTTTATTTTGTTTGTCAGTCATAAGGTTTTCCCACGTAGATTTTACAAGTTGTATTGCAGGATCATTTTCTTTTTTAGCTTGCCTGAGCCGAAGACTCAAGTGAGCAATTCTGATTAAAATTTGTCTGTTGTTGTCGTAAACTTTTCACATTTTCATCTTCTTCTGAAGAACCACTGGGTGAATTTTAAACAATCTTCCTACAAGTATTCGGGTAAAGGGGATTCAAGTTTGTTCAAATGAAGGGCCACGCCCTTTTCCAAAGGGAGATATATATGAATTAGAGAAAAAATAATGACATTTGTTTAAAAATCTTATTCTCAAGAACCACTGGTCTAGGAAAGATGGCACTTGTGTGTAATCATCCTCTCGTAGTGAAGATTCGAGTTTAGTCAAATCAAAACCCCCGGGGGTTAGGAGGGACCAAAATAGCCGATCAACGTTTTGCATAGGAAGTTTATGGGAAAAATCTTCTTAAGAACCACCGGGCCAGGAAAGATAAAACTCATGTGGAATGATCATCATGATCAGGTAGTGTAGATTCAAGTTTTTTTTTTTCAAATCATGACCCCGGGGGAAGGTTTGCGCTTAACAGTATTTAGGAAAAATCTATATCACAAAAAAAACAATGGGCCAAGAAAGATGAAACTTATGTGGAATTATCCTCAGGTAGTGCAGATCTTAGTTTGTTTATGTTAGTGTGGTTTTGTTAATCATGACCCCGGGGTAGGGTTGGACAAAAAGGCTTTACACTGGAAAATAAAAAAGAACAAATCTTTAAAAATCATTGAGTCAGGTAAGATTAAACTCATGTAAAATCATCCTCATGTGCTTATCATAACAAAAATTGCACTAAAAATAACAGGATAACATATTGGATGAATTTGTACTGGTCAGCTCAGCGTAATTAACTTGGCGGAGATAGCACACGTGGGCGCGATCATACAGAAGCTGTAAGATATGTAAACAAATAAAAGTTGAACTTTAACCTGGCCAGTTCCAAGAAATGAATCGTTTATTAGGAAAGGCATTTGGTTAGGAGGAAGAAGCAGCCAAGGAGATTGGGAGTACCAGAGGTCAAATATTTGGATAAATTAACTACGGAAAACAATATTCAAAGATTATGCAAAAGATCGGCAATTATTTTAAAAGTGCATTACAAGTTTAAAAAGTATTCAAGTTTAGATTAATAGTGATTAAAATTCAAATCAAAATATAAAGTATTTATTGCAAATTTCGAACGAGTTACAAATATGGATATGGAAATCTACAAACGTAAACCTGGTATGAAATGAACGGCCAGGATAGACAAGATTTCAGTGGAAAGCTGAATCTTGACTGCCTTGGTTGCCTTTCATACAGGTGAGATAATTTTCTAAACTTGCGCGGTTTTTGTTAAATTATTTAAAGTTTCACATGGCTTAATTTATTTACAGATAACATTTTTTTAAATATTAAAACCAATGATGTTTAGTATTATATTTAGTATATTGTGTGATTATTAATTGTAATCATAATGATTACAATTAGATTTTATAATTTAATAAAGAGTGGAAAGCTGAATCTTGACTGCCTTGGTTGTATTTCATACAGGTTGGGTAACATCTTCCACTCCCCAACAATGGCGGCCGCTCTGGTCCACAAATTTAAAAGGAATTTATAATAAAAGAAATGCGAAATTGAGCCATCCTGGTACCTCCACAAGCCAAGCGAGATTCCGTTACCTCTTCACGAGTGACAGTGAACGAGTGTAACCCAGAATATGAGGTCCGAGGAATTGAATTTAAAATTGTTTATTTTTTTTATAAAATATGGTGGAGAAATGGGGTCAGAATCAGAAGGAAGAAAATAGCCTTTGACAGTTCTCTACGTCACCCCCCCCCCCCCCACCAGACGAGGATTAGTGCACGATCCCGCTGGATTTTCGGACAGAGGACTCGAGTAGGCGAGACTTGGACCAGAGCCGTCAAACGATCTACGAGGCCAAGAGACCTACAAAATATTAACACTCTCTGGGTATGAGCAATTATAGGACAAACACGTTATGACAAACTTTTGCCGAACTTGCGTTTAAGAAAACAGACGAAACGAACTAAAAACGAACTAAAGAAATCCTAATTGTGCGAACAGGACATGGGAACTATACTACCAATCCGTACTTTGGTGAACAGAAATATCAACAATTTTATATATTTGGAAAACTACAGTGGTTCCGTGCCGAGGCCCTTGCTTCCGATTTTAAGAGCATTATCCAGTTGTTGGACAGTTTATTTGTGTGCTATGAATAAGGCTATGAAAAAAAATGACAGTACAGGTAGGAAAGTATATGTTGTTTTTTTTTTTTTAAAAAAATGCCTACCTTTATTATGCAAGATTTTTTTTTACGACGATTGTTTTTAGAATATTGTCATGTTGTTGAATTTTTTTCATGGGCAATGTTTTATAATTTACCTGATATAAAGATTGTTGATGCTTATGAAAAAAAAATGCTTGCAAAATAAAAAGTACTCGTCAAGTTGAATGTTTGATACAAATCAAGAGAATAAATCTAATGGGATGGGTCTTGAACCATAGAAGGGGACCCCGTTGACCATTTGAATACGTTAAACAAGTTTCACATAAATAAATGCTAAATGGGATGGGTCTTGAACCATAGAAGGGGACCCCGTTGACCATGCATTTGTGTACGTTAAACAAGTTTCACATAGATAAATGCTAAATGGGATGGGTCTTGAACCGTAGAAGGGGACCCCGTTGACCATGCATTTGTGTACACAGAAATAAATCCAATAAATGGGAATTTTAAGGGCCTTTAAATATAGCAAAGGGAAACCCTTCGCAGTACAGTTAAGGCAACACATGAAAAAAATATGGTAATGAAGTCATAATGAGGTCTGACGTCATGACAGTTGCTCCGCCCTGATTGATCCTTATAAGGAAATAATGCTCAAAATAACTATTTACCGATATTGACAACAATTTGTAATAAACAACAATATCTTCATGTTTAAATAGAAAATAATTAGTGATTTTCTCGTATATAAAATAGCATGTCTTTAGAATAATTCTCTTTTTAATGTATCGTTTGTCTGCATTCGGCTTCAGCCAAGCGCTTGCACTCGGTGACACGGAATGTTGTTTACATCTAAAAACGTGGCGACATCAGCTGAGATTTGAAGTGGATTTAAATGCAATAACCACACAATCTTTAAAGAAAATATGGATAAAATAAGAGACAATGCATTGCTTCTCCATTTTACAAGAATATGAGGACATTATTTCGGAAAATAGCAGAAAACTGAGACGATTTGCACCAGCTCTAGTTCCGTAGATCAATCACTGCACTGTAATTCCAGGCCAGGTATGTATACGCATATGTAGGTACATGTGTAGATCTACAATATGTAGACATGCTTTTGTTAACATAAAAAAAACCCGAGTGTGTTCATGTTCATTTAAATGTATTAGTACAGTCATTGAAAAACTGGAATTATGCAGTGCCTTGTGTGTAACACACCCCCCCCCCCCCATACTAAGTTGCATACTTTTTAGAATTATTAAAAATTAATTGCACTTAATATGTACTGAGTTCCTGTCAATTAGATCATTTTCTTTGAGACAATATGTGTAATAATGGAGATCATCAGTAACAAAAATTTAAACTAAATTGAATGAGATGTTTTCATTGTCCCAGTCAATGATTCACTAGTGACTAAGCCTAAACAAACTATGATGTATTTTGACATACAAATATGCTAAACAATTTAAAAAAAAAATATCCGTAACATTGTGTTGAAAACATAAAAGCCCCATTTCAGATCTATGGTTGTTATTTTCTAGATTTTCTAAATTAAAAAAAAATCATTTTTTGTTTAGATTACATGTACATTAAAAAAATATTTATATAATACTTTTATCATTGTAGCTGTCCAGAGTTTCAGGCTTAAAGAGTGAATAGATAAAAAATGCATCATTTCTCCACAGGGTATGTATATTTCTAAAGCATTTCACATTTTCAAAGTTTGCATGTGCTTTACATATTGTTTTGTTTTTTTTCCACTTTGGTAAAGGAGATTTTTTTTTAAAGAAAATATTCTATTAATAACTATTGTAAATGTCAGAGGTTTCACTTTCCCAGAGAAGTTTTGTAACACATTTTTTTTCATTTATATCAATAACATAAATTCACTACAATATACAATGTAGCATAATTTGTTTTGTCAAATGTAATGCCATTTTATCCTACAATGTATATTTAGTTAACTGCATATATATTGTGTTGTAGGCCTAACTATTCCCAGATGTTGGACAAATGGATTCATTCAGGCAGCAAGTTAATCCATCATTTAAGGAAAATGATATGCTCAATATAAGCTATAAACCATACAAAGTTTTGATATTAAAACTCACAGAAGAATTTAAAACATGTGTAGCGGACAGTATATAGGGAACTTATACCGCCTCGCCAGTGAGCTAGCTTTTCTGGTGATGCGGTAGAGTCTCCCTCTATTTCATGCAAGTTAAGCAACGGCGATCCTGTTTAACCCTTGGATGGGTGACCGCTTCACATTACACATGTATGTAAATTATATGTTAAATGTTTCCATGAATTTTTTTATTTCATTTTTTAAACACAAATTACTTTCAATAATGGTATTTCCTGATTTTCTCCTATTTTCAGAATTCATTTTCTCCACAAGAACATGAGGTGATGGACATAATTTGCACCTGCCCAGCATTCCTACAGTCTGTCATTGGATTTGAAAAAAAATGTTTATTAAATAAATTTTCTAGATAAATAATAATTTGACTTTTTCATATATTTACTGTACAGGTGTTGAAAAGGCCATTAAGATATGAAAATCTTAACTTTCTTACTATTTTGTGTGGAGGGTACTAATGATCATCAAGATCTTAATTCCAGCATGTGCATTGTGTTCATTTATCTTTCAATAATATAACTAAACACAGGAGACTAGAGATCCCCCTAATTGATTCAAAATAGGATAGGGGACCACCATTTGTTCTGAGGGAAGGGGGGGGGGGAGGCGAGTTTTTCCAAATCAGATTTTTTTTTCATTTTCATGTCAATGAAGGACAGATTAATATTTATTTCCAATCAATAAGATAAAGGACAGATTATTTATTTATTTTCCTCTTCATTGAAAATCCAACATGCAAAAAAAAAAAAAGTAAAAAACTCTGATTCGTGGGAGGGGGAGATCACTGATCTGCAAGTATTTATTTTTAAAATCTGCCAGTCCCTCACCCTCAAAATAAAATAGCTGTCCCCTTAACAAATACAGGAGTATACCCCAATTCTTTCTAATTAGTACCTTAAACTTATAACTTAGTTTATATCCCTTAATTAACAGTAAGCGGTCTGATTGAAAGCGATCGTAGAACATGACCTCGTATGCAGAAAGAATAAAAATATTAACACAAGTGTGAGTACCATAGGCGTCGGAAGTAAAATGAAAGGGGGCTGATTGAAAGGGGCGGACTAAGCCAAAAGAAAAAGGCAAATTCCAATGCCTACATTATGTATATAATTTGCAAATAAGTAGGGAGGCTAATCCCCCCCTCCCCGGTTCCGACGCCTATGCGTACAGTAGTGAGAGAGGGGAATAGATATCTAATTAATTATTAATGAAGGCTATATTTTAATTAACCATTTGTGTTCTACATAAATATATCGGCAATATTTATACCTATTTGTGTGTAATATTACGTGTATATAACATACACATCGTTGAGGAAATGCGGTAGGTTTGAAAGACATTATATAAATGTATACAACGTATGGAGAACGAATACACAGAAAAGAAAGAAATGTCAAGGATTTTTATGCATTCCGTCTGATTTAGTAAAAAAAAAAAAAGAGTCAAGTCCTGCCCGCATGTACATTTATTAAATTTACGAGGTAAACAAACTATATCAAGTACTCCAGAGTTATCTCCCATGCTGGGTCAGTGATGCGTTTGAAAACTACAATTAGATTGACTCTTCCAAGATTTCATTTTTTAATCAAAAAGTGCAAGGGCAAGGCGACAATCTAAAAAGTAGGGTTTTATTTTAAATTATTTATTTTACTGTATAGTTTTCAAAAAGTGATGCTCATTACTTTGTAATCCTTTAGTTAATTTATAATTCGTGATGAAATTAGGAAAATATCCTATTTTTCATACATTACTGTCTGTTTTAGCTGAATAACTTTATTATATCGGAAAACTAACTGAATGAGCATCACTTTTGAGAAAGTATAGATACATTGAGACAACATAAAACATTGTGCAGTTAATTTTTTGTTTGTCTTGCCCTTGCACTTTTTGGTTAAATTTGACATTTCATTTTTTAACCTAAAATCGGAGCCCACGTGACTTCAGGGGGTCACATGATGTCAGAAAATACCGATGTGAAAAGCGATGGACATACTCTTCAAGATCACAAATAGCTGTTTTAACTAGAGTGTCTTGCTAAAAAAATAGAACTGTTAAACATTATATGTATCGGATTCCGTGAGTTTTTATAGAAAATGTTGCCTTAACTGTACTGCGTTATACCATTATGGATGTTAAAGGTTAAGTCGGGACTTTATAATAGTCTACCAAACAAGGGGTTTGGAGAGAAATATATATTTTGAAGGGAAAATGATCGTAGTGGAAGGTTATGTACCTAGATATTTTACATTCTTCCGAATAGCTCGAGAATCATTTCTCCTTTCATAAATAATAATGACTTAACTTTTAAAGATTTTTTTTTCAAAGCAGAAAGATCGAGTATGCGTCAAATATAGGACTATATGTATGTATTTTACATCGATAATATCTTGTAATATCATGCTGCACTGTGGAAATTATTTTTGTCAAATGTGAACAGGGGATACATTTAACAACCAAATGATATTTTTGTGAAAAGTGTCTTAATCCATACAATGAGAATGATTATGTTCAATGAATTGTCAAAGCATTAATTTTGTTTTTGTGAAAAGAGCTTTGTAACATTTTTTTTCGTCACTACTGTTTTTTTCTGAAAAAAAAATGCCATCACTGCCCAGAGGAGAAAAAAAAGCAACCAAGAAAATTGTACATTATATGTTTCGTGTTGTGTTTTTATATATAGTAATTTTGTTAGAAAGTGCATTTTTAATTATATACATGTACCTTTGTGTTTGATTTCAAATTATATGATTTGCAGTATTATATGTTTAGGTATTTCCTTTGTAAAAGCCATCTGAAAAGTAATTTTTGATAAATTTATAATTAAAGTTTAAATCGGCTCGAAAATATCAAATAAATAGAATTATTGAACTTTCGGTTTTATGTAGATTTTACAGCAAGTCAAATTATTACAAATGATGAATGTAATGTTGCTAGTTAGAACAACACATGATTTCGCTTTGGATGCAAATCTATTACTCATTCATACATAGATAAACAAAGATACAAAATAGCAGAGTTAATATGATACCCTGGGAAAGTATAAACATTTGACCAGTGAGGCGATGGAGTTAAAGATTAAAGCAATTAATGTCTAAAGCATTCAGAGTTCAGCATTAGCAAATATAAACAAACTGCTCGGTTCTGTTTATCATAAACGTTTGCACTTAAACATTACATCCCTCCTTTTGTTTGAAATAGAATTAAATCCCAATGAATTAAAATAGGAATCAAAATAAAGATAAAGATACACAGACACAACACTTATTGTCTAAGTCTAAGTAGATATAAACAGTTACGGCTAGTATTTCCATTAATACACTGTTCTGGTCATTAATTCACTTTAGTTCACGATTCACACGCGTATCGATATTTATTATAGTCTACATTTCTTCAATAAGTCTTTTAGGTGCGCGGATTTCTCTCTTAGGACGGCTCGGTAACTCACTCGTGGAGTTATCTGTCTTCACGGGTATTTCGTCAACTTCGAGTTCCTCATCCTGATCTGCCTTATCTTCCAACTTTTTGAAGTGCGACGCGTTTCTTGTAATTGTCTTCTCATCATTCCCGGCGGTGACCATGGTACCTTTAGTCTTTAAAATTTCAAGTGGTTTTGGTTCATACGGGGTTGACAATTTATTTGATTTTGGTTGTTTTACCAAAACGTTGTCTCCTACTTCTAAATCTATTTCCTTTGCCCGAGAATAGTGATCAGCATGTTGTTTCATTTTTAATTTAGCTTTAATGTCATTTTCTTTCATTTCCGTGTGGATTTCGTATTTCCTTCCTTTGTTTTCGTTAAGAACGTCTACATCCATCTTGGTCCTGATTTTCCGGCTGAATAGAGCTTCAAATGGCGATATTTTTGTGGTACAATGTGGTGTAGCCCTGTAGTTCCTTAGAAATGTAAAAATTTCTTGTTTCCAACTTTTATTTTCCACATTAGCTGCTTTGATTGTTTTCTCAATTGTTCTCATGAATCTTTCGGATTCTGCATTTGCTTTAGGCCATAAAGGGGTAATCTTTCTGTGAGAAAATCCTAAGTATTCCGAATACTGGCGAAATTCTATTCCATTAAATGGAGGTCCGTTGTCAGTTTTCAGAACTTTTGGTATTCCAAATTCCGCAAATATTTTATCTAACTTAGGAATAACAGCTTTTGCTGACGTAGACTTAAGAAAATCCACAATCGGGTATCTGGAGTACTCATCCATAACTACCATGAGATAATCTCCCGAGGGAAATGGTCCACAAAAATCCATTGACAATTCCGTCCAGGGTCCACTTGGTAAAGGTGACATCTTCAACGGTTCGAGATGTTTTGTTTCTGTCGTAACTTGGCAAGGTAAACAGTTCTTTAGTGTCGACTCAACTTGTTTATCAATGCCCGGAAACCAAACTTTTTCCCTTAGCAACGACTTCGTTTTTACGATACCTTGATGTCCTTCATGTGCTAAACTTATGACGTGTTTTCTGAGGGAGTGTGGAACAAACAGTTTGTCCTTTCGGAGAACTATCCCGGTATCCGAAACAGTCAATTCATCCTTCAGCTTACAGACAGATTGCCAGTCTGGTCTTGTTGATTTCCTGAAAACAGTCCATGATCCACTCCTCACTGCATCTCGAATATCTCGTATCAGTACATCTTTGTCAGAAGCTTTCTGAATTTCATCCAGAGTCATTGATTTCGGGATGTTTGTCTGGACTACAAAATTGATGCAATTTTCAACAGAGAATGATTTGTAATTTTCTTGACGAATTGGGTGACGCGAGATATAGTCACTTGGGTTGAACTTTCCAGGTTTGTACTTTATGTGGAAATCATACGGCTGTAGTCTCAATGCCCATCTCTCAATTCTGGCAGGTGGTTTTGATGCAGGGTTTCCAAATATTAATTCCAATGGCTTATGATCTGTCACAAGGTCAAATGTGTTTCCGAGAAGATAAAGGTGAAAATGTTCGCAACTCCAGACAAT